AATCACAAAAGGGTCCAGTCTTGTATTCCACCATATTTCAAGTTAAAGACTACGCCTTGTATTTCCTACAAATATACATCGACCATTGCTTCCAAACTTTTCAATTACAAAAATACTTTACATGGCCTGGATATCGACTATCTGAAAAATAATCCCCTTTCGTGTTCATGTTCTTCTTCGCCCTATAACTATAGTCCTGCTGGACACGTTATTACAGGTGACGTAAATATAGTTCGTAATGGAGACCTTAGATCACTTATTTTAAAAGGTCCTAAATATAGGGAACCCCGATCCTTCAACTGGCGTCGGAATTTCATAAATATTATGGATTCTGTTGAAAATTACGCCAGACGATGGGCTAGATATGAAAAAGAAGACATTGACACCTTGTCAGAATGGATTAAATGTATCAGATCCATGTTAAAGTCACGTATTAAAAGATTGAGGGGCAAAATGAAAACCATCTATCCTTCTGTGTTCAATAAACCAGAAGTGAAAAAAGAATTAGATAGATTACACGATCAGTACGTACTGGTTCCTGCCGACAAAATGAATTTGAACTACCTTATATATATTGGATTCCGAAACTTCATAAGAGTCCTTACAAACAAAGATACATTGCAGGTTCCAGTAAATGTTCAACCAAGCCTCTTTCGTTACTTCTCACTAAAATATTGACAGTAGTGAAGGAAAAACTTCAAGAGTACTGTACAACTATATATTCAAGAAGTGGTGTAAATCAGATGTGGATACTTAAAATTTCTAAAGAACTTTTGGACAATTTGAAATCACAAGACTTTACAAAAATCAACAGCATAAAATCGACAATATCTATGTGGTTTTTGGAGACCAGGTATTCCAACGATCTATTGGAATTCCCATGGGTACAAATTGCGCTCCGTTATTAGCAGACTTATTTTTATATTCATATGAAGCAGAATTTATGCAAAATCTTTTACGTGAAAAGAAGAAAACACTTGATGTGGCCTTCAACTCAACATTTAGATATATCGACGACGTATTGTCAATTAATAATGATAATTTGCATTCCTACGTGGACATGATATATCCTGGTGAGCTTGAGATAAAAGATACCACAGAGTCCGACACTTCTGCTTCATACTTGGATATTTTACTTGAAAAAGACACTAATGGTAATCTAACAACCAAGCTATATGATAAACGTGATGACTTTAACTTTTCTATCGTCAATTTCCCTTACTTATGCAGCAATATACCTTCATCACCCGCATACGGAGTATTTATATCTCAGTTGATTCGATATGCAAGAGCATGCTCTACGTATGAACAATTTCTTAAACGAGGTAAATTATTGACAAGCAAGTTGATGAAACAAGAATATCAACAGTCTCATTTAAAGTCATCATTTCGTAAATTCTATGGTCGATACAATGACCTTGTCAGCAAATACAATTTATCATTGAATGAAATGCTGACTGACGTTTTGCATACCAATTGTTAGTCCATTATTTATACACTGAATTGACCACGGATTTTTCCGTTATTTCCTGATTATGACAACGAGCACACGGCGGGTGTGACCGGTCAGCAGGGGATGCTCACTCCTCCATGGCACCTGATCCCACCTCTGATGTTTCGGAGGTCCGTGTTTGCTCTGCTCTTATTTTGTATATTTGTTTAATGGACGTTGAGATTGAATACTCTTCGTTATTTCCATATCCTTCTTACATGCGTTGGTGTAAAACAGTGACAAACCTGATGATACATGTACATCACTAAATACAGTACACAATACATGTATGTCAAAAAATAAAATTAAATGAAAGGTATAATAAAACATTTATTGACAGAGTTCACGGACTAAAATCGGGCAAAATGCGTTTTGTCGGACCCTCGAACCAAACTGTCTGTCTAACGGCTTCAGGCTGACAGTTTGGTTCTTGGGTCCGAGAAAACGCATGTTGCCCTCGAACTCAGTCAATAAATGTATTGTATGACTCTTGTAAGATTTTATTTACGAGTGATAATAGCCTGAGACTGCTACAGAAATGTAACTTGTTACAGAAACAATAGCTTCTGACAGTTAAAGGGTTGGTACTTTTGGCTGTAATTATAGTAATTTAAGACATTAATAGAAATTTAGCATTTAATTGATACAGCATTTACTTTGAGGACAATAACAGAAATTAAACTTATGGTTCCAAAATTAAATTTTTTGAACAATAGATTAGTAATTTGTGGCTGCCACGTAAACTTTTAACAGAGGCATTACATGTTGCGGGAACAGTACTTTTTTGGGGCAGTTACAAACTTATACCTTTCAATCAATTTACCTCAATAAATAACAGAAGATGTAGCTAGATTCCAATCAATAGACATGAAGTATCACTAACATCATTGTCATTTTAACCAAGATAGGATAAGAACAGTATTTGGCCCCCGATTGGGGGTCTCTTTCAGAATGATGCAACAGTTTATCCATGAAAACCTGTTTTCACCCCTGCCACAAAATGAGTGTTGGTTTTAAGATTTAGGAAACACAGGGGTCACAGTGAGGTCAGGAAATAGATCAATTTTCGAAATTTCTCATTTTTATGCAATTTTTCACTAATTTTAAAGCACATTTTCTTTCGGAAAACATAGAGCACACGATTGCCTATCTCCTAAATTTATATATTTTATACACTGATATTAGATGTAAAAATCTCAGATAGGCAAGCGTGTGCTCTATGTTTTCCAAAGAGAAATGTATCCCAAATATGATAAAATTCCACCAGAATTGAGAAAATTTGGGAAAATGCCCTATTTCTGCACGCTCTAGTGGCTGCCAAGTAGGCTTTGAATCAAAATTAGTGCTTGTCTTGGGGTAACCATCATTTTAACTTCTTAACTACAAACTATCATCGTTTTACCAGTGTTCTAATTTTTATATCAAATAAGGGGCCAGATTCGGCTGCTACCCTATCTGCTCCTTAGCATTTCACTGATACACTATTTCATTGATACAGCATTTACTTTGATGACAATAACAGAAGTTTAACTTATGGTTCCAAAATCAAAGTTTCTGAACAATAGATTAGTAGTTTGTGGCTGCCACGTAAACTTTAAACAGAGGCAATAACATGTTGCGGGGACAGAACTATTTTTTGGGGCAGTCACAAACTTATACATTTCAATCAATATACCTTAATAAATAACAGAAGATGTAGCTAGATTCCAATCAATATGCATGAAGTATCACTAACATCATTGTCATTTTAACCCTGTGCTTAAAAAGCTTCAGTCCACTCAAGATTCATTTATTGTTTCGTTCATAGTCATCATTTCGTAAGTTCTATGGTCGATACAATGACCTTGTCAGCAAATGCAATTTATCATAGAGTCAAATGCTGACTGACATTTTTCATACCAATTGTTAGTCCATTATTTAAACACTGAATTGACAACGGATTTTCCCATTATTTCCCGATCATGACAATGTGCACACTGTGGGATGCCAACTCCTCCATGGCACCTGATCCCACCTCTGAGGTTTTGGAGGTCTGTGGTTGCTCTTCTCCTCTTTTGTAGTGTTTTATGGACTTTAATATTGAATAATGTTCATAATCTCCATATCCTTCCATTACAAATAATCTCCAATGTTTATAGAGACGTGTTATATCTGCTCACAATTTTATTGTTTGAATGAGATTTTGACCTTGATTACTGTTCATTATTTTCAGATTTCATGAAAGTCTACAAGATCTTTCACAATATTAAATACTCACATATAATAAACTGTCTACAGAATCCAGTTCTCTCAATTGTGTCTGTGATTCTTTATATGAATAAACAACTAAAGCAATATCATTATTAAATAAAATGTAATATTTTTTCATATAGCAAAATGAAGTACAAAATCTACAGCAATATCAAAATTTAATTCTCTTCATTTAACATGATGGTAAAAACTAAACATCACACCTAAATTCTTCCATATGATGCATGCATGCTTGGGGTTTAAAAATGGCACAGCATTTAGACAATCTTTTATATTCAATAAAAAATCATCTGATAAGTCGACATCTCTAAAATTCAGATTCTTTTTCACGTTTCATATCTATTATTGACTTCAATACACATTATCAATATAAGAAATCTTTTTCCCTCTTTGGATAATCCTTCAAAGTATTATGCAGAGTTTAAAATATATTTTTCTTTGTTCAGAGCTATACATGACTCAGATAAATATAATGAGATTACATGTATATCACATGTCTGTCAATATATTGTAAAATCTTAAAGCCGCTTAATCCGAAACAGGCACATATGTTATCTTACACAATAAAAGTACGTCATTACATAGATATTATATAAAAATAAATTATAAGATTGATTTAATTGTTTATTACAACAATCCTTACATGGAAAACATAGATCAAAAACCTTATTGAAAAACAGTAGTTCCTGACGGGAAGTTATTAGTTAAGATCTGTTGTGAAGTCAATTTTGAAAAAAAAATAAATTTATCGGTTATATCTAATAATGAAGATAATTCAAATTCGAGGTTTTTTTTGCATTAGTAGATGCCTTACTCATTTTAAATACATCTTTTAAAAATTAAGAAATTAATTGAATATAATCCATAGTAATTTTTATATTAATATGCATATTTAAAGAATAAAGGAAAATCACATATTTAAAAAAAAAATTTAAAGGAGCAAAAACATTGTCCTTATTACAAGTTTATATATACTTTGCTGTGAAAAAAGGCTCGGGTTTGTGCTTCATGAGATATACATGTAAGCGATAAATTTAATTTTTCGAAGATTATTTCATGCAATATCAACATAGGATTATTTTTTGTGTGACCTAACAAAAATTATTTTTTTAACTTCGAATTTTGATATCTTTTAAAAGAAAAAGACTTTGGGGATATAATTTGACTAAAGTTTATACAATTTATGGTTAATTATTTTTCAATAAGAAAAACGAATATATATTTTGTGCGATTGGAATCGGACCAAGCGGCTTTAAGGAGCTTTAAAATATTACAGTTGAATCAACTATGCACATATTATCAGGTTTTTCAACCTCAGAATTAACTTAGAATTGTTACAATGGTTTCCATACATTAAGGACCGGGACATACAATGAACACAGACCTACAACCCGTCAACTGTTTAAGTATCAAGACTATACATAAAGAAACATTTACATGTACAAACAAATAGGAATTATCCTGATTCCAAGATGAAGAAAATCATTTATAGCTGATTATAGGCTAGTTTTAATTAAGAATCAGAAGAAGACATCAGAAGAAACATTAGTAACGAATCCCTGAAAATTCTAGAGGTATGAAAACAAAGACAGGGTAAAACTTCTATGATACCCTGATTACAATCTTGAACACTCAATAACAAATAATCATAGAAGTAAGAGTCCACTAAGAACCAAAAAATCAAGGAATCTAACAGCTCTGATTGGTTCTTAGATTACCCAGTAAAACTTATATGGCCAATAAACAAAATGATAAATAACATTTCTGATTGGTTACATATTCCAAATAACACATCTCACTTCCAATCAAAAAGAGGAAATTTAACAATTCTGATTGGTCATATTTCGTAATAATACTCTAACTACCAATCAACAATAGCATATCAAACAATTCTGATTGGTTTTTAGATAATCCCAGTAAAATCTCTCACAGCGGATCAACAACTTACATAAATCTGATATTTCTGATTGGTCCATTCTGTAATTAATAATGACATAAATAAGGAGAGTACTGACATAAATTGGTCACAGCTGAAGAGTTCATGGTTGATCTATTGTGCTACGTGTCAACCACTTGTATCATAATCAATCATAGTTTTGTAACCACAGATATCTTTCTGATAAATGATCCCTGCTTTTTCACATATATCAAGCACAAAATTATATTTGTAAGGCATAATTAGAATAAATTTGAATTAATTTGGTAAAGTTGTGCCTACAGAAGGGGATTTCTAAAACCTTAAAATCAACATCATATAATAAATGTGTCTACACGTTAAAGACATATTATAAAAGCTGATTTGTCGAATCAAAGATTATAAAAAAAAAAAACCTTTAACAAAGAATGAACTTAAAACTGTTTCTATTTCTAATTATCATTTTTAACATTCATGCAGATTATGGGGTACATACTGCTGGAACATTGAACATAGTTAGCAATTTATGCATGAGGTGGTGTCTAAAATAGGAGAAATGTCAAATTAACTTACAAGTCATAGCTAACAAAAAAATATTATAAATAAACAAATGGATATGGTAAGAGTTATAATTGTTATATTTCTAATTAAAGCATTTGTTAATTAGATTTGGCTTTGACTCCATTGGTTACAGCTCCGTTGGTCTTTGGTTTTTTATACGCGTTTCTGTAGAAGTCTGCAAACATGATGAGGAATATAACAGCGTACGCTAGAATCCAGTAAACAAACAATGTGGGGTAGTCACAGTCAATAAACAACAGCTGTAGAGAGTGGATCGTTACCAGGATAAACTGGGTCTGTTAGATAAAAAAAAATTCCTTATTAAGGTATTAGGGGTGTAATAGCCATGACCTTGAATATGACCTAATTAAGCATAGTTATAATGAACAACACTTTCGGCAATATTTCTCTTAGTTTCATGCAATTTTGTCCATACATATTTCTTATGTGCTCATTAATATAACTGTACCCTCTCGCCAGTGGTGCACCCTTAATAGACAAAGGGTAGAGATGTAATTTTTCTAGTAAGCCAGAGAACAGTTTAATGTTTCATGTATTCAACTGTAAAAATAAGCCCTATGATTGTAGACATTCAATTTTTTTTTAGTTCAGAGTCATCAGATGTGATATATGAATACTTGTAATCGAGAGAACTTGTCTGCTTTCAGTGACAATTTTAGCAATATTGTTATAAAACCGTTTATATTATTCTGCCATAGAAAATTATGGTAGGGATGATCAATAAGAAAACATAGTAAATTTTGTGTGACATTTATTTGTGATAATATAACCATAAAAAAGAATTATTCTATCCACAATATTTATCTATATTCTACATCAGAGTGAAGTACCCCCTAAAAATGTAAGCCATTATTTTTTTGTTCATGATATAGGGTAGGTTGTAATGAATGAACTAATGAGCTTGAGCATATATAAACAAAAGATGATTGTCATACTCAACTCAATTCACATTAGATTCATTTGCTTAGAAAATTGACCTCTTCTCACACTGACCTTGACCTAGATAGGGTTTACAAAATAAACTACATTTTTGCAGTTCCCATGTGTATACAGTTCTTCATAGTTTTTATTTACTTTACAATGAAGGCTAAAATATATCTGACAGATCGCAAAACACTGATCAAAGGGTTTTAAAAATGATATTGTGCCTCACATATATTATAAAGTAATAAAATATGCATAAATAAATATGTTGAACCCCCCCCCCCCCCCCCGTTTCCGACGCGGCTAATAAACTCATTCAAAAAATAAATAAATAAAAACCCCACACAGATAAAATTCACCCTGACCTTACCCAGAATATTTTTTTGTTCTCATAGCTGATATAATTTTTTTTTGTTAAAGTTCTAAACATATAATTACATTTTTTTTACTGATCGATCTATTTAGATCATCTCAGATATTTCACGTACATGTGTGATAACATGGATAATTGAACGTGACATAAATGTATGTTGCATGAGTATCTAGATATTTTAAGTCTGTTTTTTCAATTATTTTTCAAGAAACCATCAATATTTCACAAATCCTGAGAATCATTTAGCACGGCCACAGGTTTGCACAATTCCAGGATATTACATTATGTAGGGATTATATGTACGCAACATCTGTCGATTTATTGCAGATTCCACAATACACGCCATACTATTAATATTGTAACATACATTATTCTCTCAAACTGTTAGCTGATACTAAGAGAATCACAAAATTACAATGAAAAGATACTTCGTTTGTTTTTTTTTAGAAATCGGTGCTATTTTTAGAAGTTGGAAAAACCCTTGTAGTGTGTATATGAAGATAACATCGTTTTAACTGCATATTTTGCCAAACCAAATTATAGTAAGGTGTTTTCTATTTAATATCATATCAATTCTTTCCTTTGATTAGTTATAATCTGTTCCTTTGGTGTATGTTTTATGATAGCGTCCTATGCCGTCTTGACTACGCGCCATTTTTGTTTACGAAGATAGATGTTCCGAGAACTGCCGATGTCAAACACCTCGGCATTTTAACCGGAAGTGGCCTATTACACCTCTAAATCCTTAATGTGTCAACTTGTACAAAAGATATGGACCAGACACGAATTATTAAAATTTTTTCCCAGTGACCCTGAACTTCCCCAAATGACCTTGGGTCAAGGTCATGACACATCCTAAGGTCATGGGCAATCTTTGCATGGAATGAGAACCTATGAAGTTCATCCATAAGAAAGATATGGACCGCAAACAAATTATGAAATTTTTCTTCCAGTGACTTTGAACTTCCCCAAATGACCATGGGTCAAGGTCATGACACACCCTTGGGTCATGGGCAATATTTGCATGAAATGAGAACCTTTCAAGTTCATCCATAAAAAAGATGTGGACCGGAAACGAATTATTAAATTTTTCATCCAATGACCTTGAACTTCCCAAAATGACCTTGGGTCAAGGTCAAGACACACCCTTGGGTCATGGGCAATCTTTGTGTGGAGTAGTAGATCCTAATGTCCTTCCGTTAGAAAGAAATGGACCACACATGTTTGCACAGACAGACGGACAGACAGCTAGACAGACAGATGTACAAGGTGATTCCTATATACCCCCCTAAACTTTGTTTTGCAGGGGGGGGGTATAAAAATACCTCCCTCATCTACTTTATTGCCAATAAAATGATAAATAAAATGTGCCCTCCCGCATTTGTTTTGGAGAAAATTGGCCTGAGAACCAGAGAATTAAAGTTAGATAGCCTAATATCAATGCAATGGAATTGTTACATAATTAAACTGATATGTAAAAGTTACTCCTGGGAAGTTAAATGAAAGAAGATGAATTATGCACTCTTCACTTGATTCAAAATTGATTGTGAACCACTTACTATCTGCATAGATGTCATGTATTTTTTCCACCAAAGATATTTCTGGTACTGAGGACCTAAGGCTGCCATACCATAATAAGTGTACATTACCAGGTGTATAAAGGAATTCAGCATTGAGTGAAAGGTTCCAAACCCACCTATAAATCAAAATACACAGGGTCAGGAAAAGGAAAAACAATTCAAAGATAAATGACTTCAAGGACAAAAGCTGAGGTCAATAACAAATACTTGAGGTCTAGGACAATTTCCTGTGACCTGGGCAAATTCAAAATTCAGATTTTTATGCACAACAATTAGAGAGAATGAAAAATCTACCGAATTACCTCCTACAAATTTCACTCCAAACCACCAGGAGAAGGGCATAATTCCATGGTGAAAAACGTGTAAAAATGAGGCCTGGTTAAACTTCTTCCTCATCACAAAGAAAACCTGAAAAAAAATATGACTTCAGTTTATATTCAGAAACTAATATTTTTCCTCTATTGTTGTAATACCAATCTTGTATGATGACAAATCTTCTAGAATTACAAACTTAAGTTTGAAGAGAACTTACTGTGTCAAAAAGTTCAATAAATTTAGAAAAATAAAACATCCAACAGACTTTCAGCATCTAAAAATAAACAAAAGCTCCATTATAACATGAGTTATAGCTTCTGGTATTAGTTATTGTCAGTCAAAATGAATAAAGTTTTGAGGCCAAGGGCAGGGCTTAAAACCATTAATGACATGATGGACCAGGGCCGGAAAGGTTTCTTTTTAAGGTAATGATTGCAGACAGCATAATGAAAATGAGAGTGAAAAGTATCATCTGAAAGTGGAAGGCATTGATTAGTTGTCCTGGTACAATCTTATTTAGGTTGGATTTCATGGCCATTTCAGTTTTTAATATGTTTTGCATACACATTTAATTGCCTTGGTTTTCTTGATTGTTGTTTAATGTCCCTCTTGAGAATTTTTTATTCACATTGATTCCATCACAAGTTAATTGCATTTTTGACTGAGCTATCCAAGCTGATACTCACAGCCCAACTCATTAGAAACATAAAATGACAGCATTAAAATCTTTCTCTAATTTGCTACACACAGCCCAAACCATTACACAAGAATGACAGTATTACACCTTTGTAGGATACAGACCCTTAATCCTTTCTCTGAGTAATCTACAGGCTGACATCTCAGACTGTACCCATTGAGCCAACCAGCAAGCAGAAACTGAAGAAAAGAAACATTCTCTTCTCATTGAAATTTGTAAGCATCAGAGATTCCTAAATCCTTACCATAAGTTAAAATTTTTATCTTAAAGAAGGAATCTGGTTTTACTTTTGACTAAATGCAATATTCATATTATATTTCCTAAATGCCTTTCATATTAAATTGTCAAAAATTTAAGAGATAAATCGTATTTTCTCTTTCTTGTCATAGTTGTAAAAACTTCAACATGTTCAAATAGAAATGAAAAATGGATAGTGAATAATCTTGAATTTGTAAAATAGAATTAAGGAATTTACTTACAGTAACAGCAAGAACTGATTTTATAAACTCACCTCCACAAAGCAGTAGGTTGATAAGAGAACCATGCAGAAGTTGTAGACAATCAGAATCTTCTTCATCTCAAACGGTTCCCTGTTGGCCATAATGGTGGGTCCCATCTTAACGAACACAAAGTAGGCGACACAGATGACGAGGCTCGGCCAGGGAGTTGACATCATAAACCATCCATCCACTCTCGGATCTGAAATAGAACAAAATCAATGTTAGAAAATAACACATAACAAGATTATAGGTCACCTGAGTATCATGAAACAATTTTCCAAATATTTAATTTGGTTCATGTTTTAAACCAGATGCCATGAAATTCACAATTTTGAAAGAAGCACCATTGTTTATCATAATTATACACTTAGAATACTTACTATATATAGTTACTTCATACCCAGAGTTATATCAGAGTAAGAAAGAGAAAATTTTCACTTTATAACCAGTGGTGCACCCCATCCCACAGGAACATTGACCCTGGGGCCACATATTTCAAAATTTTGGAAACTTTATCATAAATTTTATTTCATCATATATGGTTGATTAATACCATAGAGCAGATTTCAAAGCATTTATTTATCTTCACTTTGCTGGATGCACCTTTCTTCATCATCAATATATGTACTAAGTTCATATGCATAATACCTAGGGGCAATGGAAAAAAATTTAAAGAATCCGTGCATTTTCACTATATATAATCATTAGAGCCCCACCCTAACACCAGAACACCTGACCCAGGGGCCATGAAATTCACAGTTTATGAAGAGGCATCCTTTCTCATCATAAATATGTACATGTACATAGTTCATTGGTTTAATACTCAGGAGCAGAGAAGAGGGTTTTTGAAGAAACAATGTATTTTCAGTATATAATCAATAAAGCCTCACCCTAACATCACAACCCCCAAACCAGGGGGCACGAAATTCACAATTTTCGAAGAAACACCCTTGCTCATCATAACTATATACTTACTTAGTAAGTAAGAGAAGAAGGTTTTCAAAGAAATAATGCACTTTTACTATATGATCTATATATAGTCCCGTCCTGACACTAGAACCCCTGACCCAGGGACAATGAAAGTCACAAGTTTTGAAGAGGACTCAATGCTAATTACAATCATGTCAACAGTTTCACTGCTTAATGTCCAGGAGTAAAGAAGATTTTTAGAGATTGCATTAATTTTATAGGTTTTGGCCCCATCCCCCTGGCCCCATGGGGGCAGGGACCATGAAATTCACAATCATTGTTCCCCTTCACTCATAGATGCCATATACCAAATTTGGTTGAAATTGGTTCAGTAGTTCCAGAGAAGAAGTTAAAAATGTTCAAAAGTTTACAAACGACGTACGACGACAGACAAAAACAGATAGCAATAGGTCACCTGAGTTTACTCCTGTGACCTAAAAAGGTCAGATATTGTCAATATATGAATTGAAATGTTTATTTAAATGTAAATACTGTGAGTCTTATTTAGTCCTGAGAGTCAATGTTAATGCACAATCAAAGAAAGCTTTTTGCTAATTGGAAATGGAACTGCTCCAAAAACTTCAACCACGAGCCTGTTCAACATAACAAACGTTCATGAGTGTTCGCCAAAATTTCTCATACCTCCCATAGAAGTGTTTGCTAGCACTCTCTCTGTTGAACAGGCCTCTGGTCACTTATCTGGAATATTAATTGAGGTCAGATCCAAAGCAAGTCTGGTTGTGTTTATTCCTAGGTCCATCATCCATACAAGTTTGGTCCAGGTAGGGCATATTGTGACTTGGGAATATGTGACGTAGTTTATATTGGGTTTCAACCACCCCCATTTTTTTGTATAATCTATTAGTCTTTTATAAAATTTATGATCAAAGAGAGATAATTCTTGGATTTGTGTAAATTCAGAATGTGGGGTATATCTTGGGTTAGACTTTTATTACTCAGCCCTTGCAGAATATTCCTGAGATGTCCTAAGAAATCCTAAGACTATCTTAAGATTTATTCCTCGGATATCTTGAAAAAATCCTAGGATTATTCCTAAGATATCCTGAGATGTTTTTGGAACAGGAATTCCTGGGATTTCCTTGGACAGTCCCAATTCAGGGGTTCTAGAAAAATCCCAGGAATCAAAACACCAAGACTTCCCAGGATATCCCAGGAAAATCCCAACACTTAAAATGTCCTAGGAAATCAGGAATTCCTAGGATTTCCTAGGATATCCTAGCCTCCTAGGACATCTTTTTCTTTAAAAAATCATACATAGCAACAAAGCAGAATTATAAGATATCTGAAAAAAATTTAATGAATGTATGCATTATAAAAATTCATGGCCACACAGAAAAAATAATACATAAAATAATTTTTCAAAAATGCTGATGGTATCTAATTCAACAAATTCTTTACAATTTTACTGCTGTTACATTATAGTGCAGTTATGATTCAACATCATGATTTACACACAAGGGGGGAAACAGATTGTCTTATTTTCAAACTATGTTAATACAGTCTGAAGCAGCTCTCATAGAATATTTATGATATACATGTACAATGACAAATATTAATAATAATTAAAAAAAATATTTAAATCAACAACCTAGTGTAGAGAGTAGGGGTGAGGCCCTCAGGGTTCCTCACTTCTGAAGAATTCTGTACAATAAAAGATTCAGATACCAAACAGAACTAATTCATAACACTCCCCCCCCCCCCATAAAAAAAACAAAAGCAGTATGCACCTGGTGGCATCAAAGTTTGAAAAAAAAAAAAACAAAAACATATAGGTCAAAGTCACAAGGTCATTAACCTTGATGTAATTTGAAAGAACTTAGTGGAGTATGGATACTCAATATAAAATCTCTACCTCTTATGGTTCAAAAGTAAAAGATTCAATAGGCTATATTTTAGCATAACGATGACAGTCATGGTCATTGGTCTTGGTCTCATTTGAAATTGGAGTAAGCATACCCAATATGAAGTATCTATATCTCTCATGATTCAAAAGTTATGGCAAAAGGTAAATTGGCAATAAACAGATAAACAGACAGGCAAAAACAATATGTGCCCCCGAAAGAGGCCTTGACCTCTGACCATATCACTTCAAAATATATAAGGGTAATATTTAATTTAAAAACAACATTAAATTTGTATTGATGATTAATCATGTTCTGCAGTGGGATCGTCAAAATGAGTTATAATATAAATAAAATGTCATTGCAATATCTGATGGCTTTTTGGAAATGTTAAGAGAACGAAGTGTTACAGACAGACAGATCGACAAACAGAAAGATAAACAGACCCAAATTAATATCCCCCTGCACCTCGTCAATCCAATATAAGTCGCCCAGCTTTAGTTGATCACTGATGTATCTTCTTTATAGCTGTACATTTTTCTTCTTCATCGCCAGTGGCCTAGTTGCAGATCGTGAAGCCTTGTTTGCTTTTTCTTCACTTGACTTTTCACTTGTCTTTGCTAAAATAAAATTTTACTTAATGTATTCCATTGTTTAATCTAAATATGTAATTATTTCTTAGGGATGAAAATCAAACTTGTAAAATTTAGTAGCCAAAGATGCTACAATTGTACCAAGCTTTCAGATTCTACCAGTCCATAAAAATATGTGTTTGCCCAAGTAAGATGAACCATTTTTCTCAAAAGATTTATTTTATTCACTGTGCTGTCACAGTTCTTATTTTTTCATTTATATCGTTTTTGTAATGTGAATCATCTAGAGTTATCGTTCTTTGTCAATTTTTTGAATTATCTTCCTTGAGTAGAACTCTTTTGTATATAGAGTTACTTCCCTCATTTTCCCGTGCAAATTTGTCAGCCATTCGAGTTCCATCCGTGAAGAAGGACATACATGTTTTTTGTTCTTCCTTCTACTTTCTTTTGATTTGTGGCCTACTACCATGTAAGTTTTTTTATAGCAAACTTTTGTGATGTAATGCATATTATTTGTAAGTTATTTCGGTAATCATTTTTTGAGAAACTTTGTGTACTATTGTAAACTCTTTTCAGTCAGGTATTTTTCACGAAGTTTTAAATCAGGAAAGATTTGAGAATTGATTATTGATTATTGTTATTCATTTTATCTAGTAATCGTTAAAGTTATTGATCTATTATTATGGTTAGGTTTATATGTGAGCTTTATTCTTTGGAACTCTATTATAGTCTCTTTGGTATTTAGTATTTGTTTTGTTTATTTCAGTTATTTACCTGTATCATCCTCATTGACTCACTTACTCGCTCGCTCACTCATTTCCTTACGTACTGTAATAAATACGGAACCAGCACCTTGTGTTATTGATTATGTGTGACTGTGAGGACCCCAGGTTTAGCTAGCTGTTCTAGACAGCATAGTAAATAAATGTCAACTGGTCAAACCCAGGATCCGAGGATGAGTGATCATCGTCAAGACGAAGAAGCAGAAGAAGAAGAAGATGAAGCCTCTCCCAGGCCGAAACGTCAAAGAGATTTAACTGCAAAAGGTGAAGGTCTTCTAGACAAGTCTATTGACACTTACTCAGCTAAACTGCAGAAATTATGGAAAAACGTTGATACCATTATTGAAGAAGTAGATCACACATCTTCTAAAAATCTCAAACTTATCGTTCAATTACAATCTTTATTAGAAACAAGGATAGATGCCTTTGACTCACATTTTAGTGAATTCTGTGAATTTCTGGAAAGACAACGTACCGAGAGATGTGTGCATGAACTGCAAAGACTCAAGTTGGCAAGGAAGGGTTATTCAATATTATTTGACTCCGCTTTCAGAAAGCTTGGTGTATTGCAAGAACAGTCTTCACAGCTTCATGAGCAGAAACCACATCAGGAAGAAGATGTCCATTCAAATAGATCAAAGAGATCAAAGAGATCAAAGAGATCACAAGAAAATGTGTCACAAACTCCTTCATCAAACAGTAATCAAAGTACATTGTCTGAGAAGAGAAAAAAGGCAGAAATTGCGCGAGCAAAATTAAAATATACTGAACTTGAAATGCAAATCAAAAAAGAACAATCTCTTCTGGCATTAGAAAGAGCGAAGTCTCAGAAAATGACGGACGACCTAGAAGCAGATCTACAATTACTCTCGGTAAAAAAAGAAGTAGCGGTTGCTGAAGCCGAAATTCTCAGTGAAGAAGAAGGAAGTCAATGTGGTCATAGTGATACCTGTATTAAAGATTTAGAGAGTGTCGACAGAAAAGAACGCACAAAATCATCATATGTAGAACAACATGCTCTAATTCAAACTCAGGATAAAAACATTCCACTGATTCCAGAACCCTGTGTATCAACATTAAATCCTCAGGCTCTTCCATACATTCCTCAACAACCATCTTGGAGTGTAGGACAAGCAGCAACACAAGACTTTACTCGTTATCTCCTGAAAAAAGACTTAATGCTTTCACGTCTCATCAAATTTAATGACAAGCCTGAATTCTACCCATCCTGGAAAGCAACCTTCAGATCTGTTATGAGAGACTTGCAAGTAACACCAGAAGAGGAAATAGACTTTCTTATCAAATTCACTAGTCTGTCAGCTCAACAACAGATTCTCAGCATTAAGGCGGCAAGTGCAAACAATCCTACTCGTGGACTTCAGCGAATTTGGCAAAGATTAGAGGAGCGATTTGGGTGTCCTGAAATGATAGAGTCTGCATTAAAAACAAAACTGAACTCTTTTGTTCCTATTACGTCAAAAGACTATCGACGCCTATACGACTTGTCTGATATTTTGGATGAAATCCTAGCAGCAAAAGAAGATATTCGTTACCAGTCATTACTCGCATACTTTGATGCATCGACAGGAGTGACACCTATCGTCATGAAACTTCCATACCAACTTCAAGAAAAATGGACAAATACAGCGGTAAAATACATCAGTGACCATCATGTTGTGTTTCCTCCATTTCATGTATTTGCAAACTTTATTCGTGAGCAAAGCCGTATCAAGAATAATCCCAGTTTTGCTTATACAGACAGAAACTTAAGTATGCAGAAACACAGTGACAAAACTTTGAAAATTTCAAGCAGGAAAACAGCTCTATCTCAAACCCCACAGATTTCTCAGAGCTCAGGAAAGGAAAATCAATGTCCCCTTCATAAAACAAACCATTCCTTGGAACAGTGTAGAGGTTTCAGGACAAAATCATTTGATGAACGGCGAAAAATCTTGAAAGATAACAATTTGTGTTTTAGATGTTGTTCAAAGGATCACAAACAAGCAGAGTGTCATTCTGATGTGCAGTGTGGAGAATGTGGTAGCAAATTTCACACATCACCATTACATGTGAATAGGCCAAAAATAAAGACTCCATACCCTTTGAGAAACAATGGCGGGGAGAATTTCACTGAGAGACAAGATTTTGAAAATGTGAACAACCCAGATGTGAATTCTAAATGTACACAAATCTGTGGACAAGCATTTGGAGGAAAATCTTGTGCTAAAACCATTCTAGTTCATGTGTACCCAAAACACTGTCCGCAAAAATCTGTGAAAATTTATGCAGTGATTGATGACCAGTCAAACAGAACACTTGCTAAACCAAAACTCTTTGATCTTATGGACAGTATTGGAACTACAACAAATTACCTGTTAACATCTTGTTCAGGAAAAGTTCAAAGATCAGGACGTAAAGTGCATGGATTAGTGGTAGAGTCATTAGATCGACAGAACTGTATAGATATACCTACCATCATTGAGTGTGATGAAATCCCTGAAGTCAGAGAGGAAATTCCTACGCCGGAGGTAGCTCTACACTATGAACACTTGCATGACATTGCTGATCACATACCACCAATTGATCCTAACGCAGAAATCCTATTACTGATAGGAAGGGATGTAACCAAAGCACATCACGTCTTGGACCAACGCATTGGTTTTGGAAATCAACCATACGCTCAAAAACTATCCCTTGGTTGGACTATCATTGGTGAAACTTGTTTGGGTAAAACCCACAAACCAGATGTCATTAACGTCATGAAAACCTGTATTCTACCTGATGGCCGTCCTACTCTGATGTTACCCTGTGGCAGTAATTTAAAGGTCAAGGAAAAAATCGTCGATGAAACCTCAACAAACATCATGTGTACAAAGACTGAAATCGGTGAAAGTGTTTTTCAGAGGACTGAGAGTGATGAAAAGTTAGGACTTTCTATGGATGATCATGAGTTTCTAGATATCATGAATTCACAGTTTACAAAAGACGCAAGTGGACATTGGCAAGCCCCACTTCCTTTTCGTAAGGACCATCAGCGACTTGTAAACAACTACGATCAAGCTAGAAAGAGAGCAAAACAGTTAGATTACACTTTGCAGAAGGATCCAACAAAGAAAAGACATTTTGTGGAATTTATGGACGCATTGTTCAAGAATTGTCATGCAGAAGTAGCACCGCCTCTACAGAATGGAGAAGAATGTTGGTACTTACCATTGTTTGGAGTTTACAACCCAAAAAAACCAAATAAAATACGAGTTGTGTTTGATTCCTCAGCAAAATTCGAAGGAAAATCACTTAATGACGTATTACTTACTGGACCGGACTTGACAAACAGTCTTCTTGGCGTTTTACTACGGTTCCGCAGAGACAAAGTTGCATTAATTGGAGATGTTGAACAAATGTTTTACTGTTTTAGAGTCTGTGAACGTCATCGAAATTATTTACGATTTCTATGGCATGAAGATAACAACCCTGAAAAGAGACTGATCGAATACCGCATGACTGTTCATGTCTTCGGAAACAGTCCCTCACCAGCCATTGCAACCTATGGATTACGCAAGACTGTAAAGGAAGTAGAAAATCTGTTTGGGACTGACGTAACTCAGTATGTGGAACGTGATTTTTATGTGGACGATGGATTAACGTCACAACCTGCTGTAGAAAAAGCTGTGGACCTCATGAAAAGAACACAGAAGGCTTTGAGTTACAGGAAATTACGTCTACACAAAATAGCTTCGAACAACCAGGAAGTTATGAACGCCTTTCCACCGAGTGATCTGTCAAGTGAAATGAAAGACTTGGATTTATCAAAGGACAATTTACCAACACAACGCAGTTTAGGACTAAATTGGGACTTGCAATCAGATTCGTTTTTCTTTAAAATCTCAAATGACGCCAAACCATTCACAAGAAGAGGAGTGTTATCCACAATGGGGTGGGATGGAATCAGCATGTCCATATGAATTACATATTAAAACCTGTCGGACATTAAATCTCAACCCCCCAAAAAAAAATCTTTGAGTATTTTATATGTTTTTAAAAAAAAATTATAGTAGATAGTGCAGACCCATTCAGTAGTAAAGAGTAGCATTCAGTTAAAGATTAATTAATGAGTTCAATGTTGGAAAGCTAGCTGTCTCAGTCGCTCTGATTAAGCTGTACCCTTTGGGGATTCCATTTGATGACCAGCAAAATTAATTTGGTATAGATTAAGTTGTTAAGACTAATTTGATGATGGGCATTTAAGGTCTAACACAACCAGCACAGAAATCTATCGGTGATGTAATATTTATTATAATTGACAATAAAGAAGCACTTTATCTTTAAAATCTCAAAGGTCACAAGAAGAGGAGTATTCGACCCTATAGGATTTCTTGCCCCAGTTATCATCCAAGGCAAGTCACTCATGAGGAGTCTACTTCAAGAAACAGTCAATTGGGATGAACCTCTTCCAGAAAATCAGTCTACTCAGTGGGAAAAATGGAAAAGTTCTTTACAACATCTCCAAAACCTACACATTCCAAGAGTTTACTTAGAACAGACACAGTCATGGAGTGAGACTACTAACAAAACAATTCACATTTTTTGTGATGCTTCAGAATCGGCAATATCAGCAGTGGCCTATGTAGAATCACAAGGAAACTTTGGATTTGTCTTGGGCAAATCAAAACTAGCGCCCTTACAAGGACATTCAATACCCCGTTTAGAACTTTGTGGCGCTGTGCTAGCGGTGGAGATTGCTAAGTTTGTATCAGAACAGCTTGAATTACCGATTGAACATTTCAAGTTTTACTGTGATAGTAAAGTAGTGTTGGGATATATTTTCAACAATTCAAGGAGATTCTTTCAGTATGTGGCAAACAGAGTGATGCAGATTCGTAAAGTGACTAAACCAGATCAGTGGTCATACATATCAACAGACAAAAATCCAGCTGATCAAGCAACGAGACAGATACCAGCTCAAGCTCTACAAGACAGTACTTGGTTGTCAGGACCATCACTTGCACACTTACAACAGACTGAATATGCAAGTATACCCTATGAGATGGTGGACCCAGATTCAGACAAGGATGTCAGACAAGAAATCACTTGTTTAAAGGTTGATATCTCGGGACTCGGATTGAAATCCGAAAGATTCTCACGTTTTTCTCAGTGGAGGAAACTTGTTGAAACTATCGCCAGACTTCAACATATAGCGCAATCCTTTCATCAAAGAGACGGTAAATGTTCTGGATGGCATGTGTGTGAAAATTCAAAAACCGTGGAAAGTTTTGACAAAGCTGAGAAATTTATCATCAAAACTGTGCAGAGTGAAGTGTATTCAGAAGAAATTCAGTGCATTTTGAAAGAAAAACCTCTGCCTAGAGATAGTAACATTCTACCTCTTTCACCATTCTTGGATAAAGATGGAATTCTGAGAGTCGGCGGACGTCTCAACAAAAGTTCTCTACCAATCAGTGAGAAAAATCCAGTGATAATACCAAGAAACCATCACATAGCGTTGTTGATTGCTCGTTACTATCATGAACTCTGTGTACATCAAGGTCGCCACTTCACAGCAGGAGCAATTCGTAGTGCTGGATTCTGGATAATAGGAGCCAGAAGATTAGTTTCATCCATGCTTCACTACTGTGTCAAATGCAGAAAATTACGTGGAAAACTATTGTGTCAAAAAATGTCGGACCTTCCTACAGATCGTTTGGAGCCTAGCCCACCTTTTACATACATCGGCCTAGATACGTTTGGTCCTTGGGAGATAGTTACTCGACGGACACGTGGAGGATCTGTGAACTCAAAAAGATGGGCGATTTTATTTACCTGTCTTACAACGAGAGGAATTCACATTGAAGTTGTGGAGGAGTTAAGCTCCTCATCATTTATCAACGCCTTTAAGAGGTTTGAAGCCATTCGAGGAAAAGTTACCCAAATTCGTTCAGATCAAGGAACCAATTTCGTGGGTGCTATAAATGACCTGAAAATCGATTCATCTGGACTCAACATAGCAGACCGTAAAATCAGAAACTTCCTTTATGAGTGTGGAACTACTTGGAAGTTTAACCCACCCCACTCTTCGCACATGGGTGGCGCATGGGAACGCCTCATTGGAGTCGTAAGACGTGTAATTGATGCTGTTATGTTGGAGATACCAGCCAGATCTCTCACTCATGAGATACTTACAACATTCATGGCTGAAGTTTCAGCGATCGTTAACGCCAGACCGTTAGTCCCCTTGTCGGAAGATGCAGATGATCCGTACCCTCTGAGCCCTTCTATGATACTTACCCAGAAAACCCCTGTGATCGTCAACTTCCCTGTTGACAAGATGAACATGTATCTAGCCCAATGGAAACGCGTACAACATATGGCAGATTTATTCTGGACACGCTGGAGGAAAGAGTACCTTCATACGCTGCAGATTCGTAGGAAATGGATGCGCAGTGAAAGAAACATTACAGAGGGTGATATTGTGTTGCTTCGTGACAAGAATGTTCACCGTAACCTTTGGCCTATGGGTGCCATCGTAAAAACGTTCCTTAGTGATGATGGGAAAGTGCGGAAAGCCGAAATACATGTGGTGAGACGTGGCTGCCAGCCGTCCACATTTATCCGTCCGGTGACCGAGATGGTGTTGCTTCTTGCCAATGACGTAGTGTAGTTTATTTAACTTTTGTGATGTTACAAACATCAGACGGGGAGTGTGCTGTCACAGTTCTTATTTTTTCATTTATATCGTTTTTGTAATGTGAATCATCTAGAGTTATCGTTCTTTGTCAATTTTTTGAATTATCTTCCTTGAGTAGAACTCTTTTGTATATAGAGTTACTTCCCTCATTTTCCCGTGCAAATTTGTCAGCCATTCGAGTTCCATCCGTGAAGAAGTACATACATGTTTTTTGTTCTTCCTTCTACTTTCTTTTGATTTGTGGCCTACTACCATGTAAGTTTTTTTATAGCAAACTTTTGTGATGTAATGCATATTATTTGTAAGTTATTTCGGTAATCATTTTTTGAGAAACTTTGTGTACTATTGTAAACTCTTTTCAGTCAGGTATTTTTCACGAAGTTTTAAATCAGGAAAGATTTGAGAATTGATTATTGATTATTGTTATTCATTTTATTTAGTAATTGTTAAAGTAATTGATCTATTATTATGGTTAGGTTTATATGTGAGTTTTTTTTTCTATGGAACTCTGTTTCGGTCTATTTTGGTATTTAGTATTTGTTTTGTTTATTTCAGTTATTTACCTGTCTCATCCTCATTGAATCACTCACTCATTCATTTACGTACCGTAATAAATATGGAACCAGCACCTTGTGTTATTGATTATGTGTGACTGTGAGGACCCCAGGTTTAGCTAGCTGTTCTAGACAGCATATTCACACTTGCATAAGGAAAAAGGTATGTTAATCAATTGCATACATGACGTGATTTACAAATGATGTCATAATAATCTTACTGAATAGCCTTTTTGTAGAAAATAAAATTTTAATTCGCAATAGTTAACCGCTTTACCACAGCTGTCGTATGAAGTCAATTTACTTGGCATTAAAATACTGTGAATTAAACTCTCCATGTGAACAGAACATTAAAATCATACATTAACATTATTTGAACAGCTTACCTTTCTCCGCAATATTCTCCTTGTTGTAATTTGCTTCTTTTCCCTTAGTCCGAGTTAAACAGTCTGCAAAGTTTTCAATAAAATTTTTTATAAGACGTGTATATATTTGTTCTTTTGTAATCTAGCTGAAATTAATTTTAATGATGGCTGTCATTGATATTTCTTGCTGATTTTTTCATTTTTCTGTTCTAAATTTTGCGAATATTATCTTATGTGTTCTACGACATATGCGTCAGTTTTCTTAACTTAATATAAGTTACAGAGATTGAAATGTACCATAAACTTTCATAGACGACTTTCACATTTACAAAACTTATTCCCCTTTGCGGGGTCAATCCAGGGTCAACTGGCGTAAGACACTGTTTCCCCTCTATTACCTTACCAACTTTATGGGTCAGTATCTCAGAAATATAGTATGTATGAATTTTTTCATTACGTTTTTAAAGTTGCCCCATATTCTGGCAATACAGTTACAGACCGATATTGTTAGATATAAATGTCTGAAAATAAAAATATTTCCAGGTAACTTACAAAGGACAAAGTGGGAAAAATGAGTGTTACGCCGACAACCGGAGATAACTCTTAGGAATGTGAAATCCGTCTATTCTTTCAAGTTTACAAAGAAAATTTTTTTTAAAATTACAAGATACCTGAAACTTTCTCTTCATTTGGTAGTCTCAATGGGAGTTTCCAGTCTCATAATCCTTGCCAGGCTTCAAGGTTCTAGCTAGAAGATAACAATGCAATGAAGGCTTTATTTAAGAGTATAATTCCAAAATTTACACCATGTCAAAACATTCAATGCAAATTTAACAGTAACTGATAATAAATATTTGTTTATAAGTCTTCTGCTTACTAAATTTTAACATGTAAAACCTGGAAATATTTCACTGTGTATGTACTAGTATACGATACATTTGATCTTCATGGACTAGAATGAATCACAGTTTGCCCAAAAACCTTTTACACATAGTCAAATCGTTTCTTCTGTTTCAATATTGAAATATTATATACAATACATCACATGCACTAAATTATTAAACAACATTTGTGTGTTTAAATACATATTACAAGGAACCACTCGCCACTTACCCCACTGGCCTGTGGCCATGATATCTAAACTTCTTCCAACATTCCCTTTACTGCACTCCTAGCGAAACCAAGATTTTTGGGAAAGAGAATATGGTTTATGCGAAGAATTAGAGTCAATCTTGGGCGTAAGTTGTGCATTTCATTATATTTCATCAGTCTCTCTAAACATTGCCGCTCCTTGAACTCATATTTTGCGCTTCTCGATGAAGTCTCGCGAGAGGATGATAAAGGACGGTGTAAAGTTATTTCGTGCCACACCAAGAAAATGCGGTTTGTTTATTCTTGAAAATAATTTGTGATTAATGTGAATTTACGTTTTTTTTTTTTTTTTTACAAAAAGAAATATATTTTAGCGAATATTTTCTGACAAATTAATATTCAAAGCTGAGTTGACAATAACATATATTTTATACACCGGGTACTAATTGATCGAAGATCACTCTTTTGTACCATCTCTCGGAAGTTCGCGCGAGAGAATGCTGCAGACACAGTGTAGGGGTATTTTGTACACCTTTAAGAAATATCCCGACATTTTCCCGAGACTCTTGTTAAAAAAAAACACGTAAGTTATTATCAGTGACAAACGACCCGCATGTTAGAAAAATAAAATATAAATATCCTTGATCAACCAATTCTACTAACAGAAAGTGTTACAGAAGAAAATATTTTCGAAGAACCACGATGATACATTTAGGCCAAGAACAATTTGCATGGAAACCGTCCAAACACAAATATGGCGGATCGTGAAGTTGTCACATGTGCTGTAAACAACGACTTTTCTTCGCATCTACAAGCCTGCCACGATGTCTGTAAGTATCTTATTGCTAAGTGATGAATGAAAATTAGTATATCTGTCGATAAAACCTATAGGGAAAGCGCATTTTTATTATCGTATTTAATAGTTATGTTACGACTCGAATTTGGTCAAAACCTTTGAAAAGTTTTATTGGATCTCTGTTTATGTGGATAAAATTTTCAGGAAACTCTATTAGTTTTACTGCGTATTTTAGATTTTCCTCGTTAAATAAAAGCAATACTCAATATCAAAAACATAAGGAATTATATTCTCAAACTCAATACAACACGATTCTAACCCAACAAAATTTGAAATACCAAGCTTTTTAAGTCAGAAAGTGACAAAAGTATGATGTCACAGACCAAGTCATGCTTCTTGAGTATGCTGTTTATGTAGTATTTAAATTTGTGTAGTGTACTCTTCTTTCAATGACTCAATATTTACTTTTCTTTTGTATAGTATCTCTGGCAGTTATGGGTGAATATACAGCGAAATCATACAGATTTGGATGAAGATGTTAAAGACAGTAAAGTCAAAGACAGTTTGATGAACCAAATGACACTGATAAAGAAGAAGATACAAAAAAAAGATACTTCTAGCCAGGCATGTGACTTTGAAGCTGATAGTTTGGTAACCACCTGAGAGATACGTATGCAGGTGATGACGGTATAGGAGAGCCATTTCTTATAACGTGCTCTGAGGAAAATATGTTTTATTTTGTCGAAATGAAATGCGAAGTGAAAAATTAAATTGACAGATGAAGAAAATTTACCACTCCATCCTTCTGCATGTATGGTCTACTGAATTCAAAGCCATTTGAAAACCAACTTTAAGTTAAGAGGAACACTTTATTTTCAGTGAAACATTCTGGAAAATATTACTTCTACATAGAAAGAAAAAGTTGTATTAATACTTGATGTTGTATTGCAAGATGGCCAAGTTTGTATGACCAGTGCTTTCGGAAAAAAAACTATGCTTGCACTCAGTTTCCCATGAACGAAGCAATCTAAAGATTAAGTGTAGAATTTAATTCTAATGGATAAAAATCAACTCAGAAATGTGTGATTTGAAAATGGTGAAATATTGCTTGTCTGTAAACAATTTTTTCTTTAAAACATATTACATGTATAACTCCTCCCTGACAGCATCAATATTTCAGAAAGTATTTAATTTAAAAAATAGTTCTAGGGTCAGTGTCTTTCTATGTATCAAGTATAATATATGTAATGATTGAAAATTATTCATTTTATGATTTTCTTGATATTATACATTAAAACTTTAAAAGTAATAAAATTTCCTGTCATTCTGTTTTAACATTTATTAACATGTACAAGTTTGTAAAGTTTAATTTGTCTTTTTTACAAAAGTCCCAACATTAAGTCAAAAGTCTTAGGAAATGGGATTATCATAAAAATGATTAACTCCTGGCTTTACAATGAAATGTCCTGGCAAGATTTGGATTTGAAATGTTTAACAAAGAAGTCCTGGGAGATCCTAGGATGTCCTGAAATCAAATCCCAGGATTGTTACTCCTAGGATTTCCTCAAATCAGATTGTGAGGAAATCTTAGGAATTCTTAGGACATCTTAGGAATTCCTGAGAAGCATTTTCAAGTCAGGAATAATTTCTGCAAGGGCGAAAACCCGCCAAATAAACGTTGTAACGTGTTTCACCTCTCCTGTTCTTTTTAGGTAAGAACACAAATTTATACATGTTAACGTGTTTGTAACTGTTTTCTTGATAAATAATATGTTTGATATAAAACATTTGTTTCTCAAAATATTGTGATTAGGTGAATTTCAATGTATTAGTGAATATTTTGATACAGCAGCATGGTCTAGCCATGTGGCTTGAGTTCAGTGTAAAGTCTTTATTTTGAGTCTAAACAATGGCGAACAGATTATATGTACAGAATTGTTATGTTATAATCACACAAAGTATTAGCTTAAACGTATAGATTTGATTTTCTAACGAATGTATAAAATTTCATTTGTTTCCGGAATTAGTTGTGTTGCTGGATTTAGAGTCATGTTTTAGAGTTTGTAATCTGTTTCAGGTTTGAGGCAAAACGTAAACAAATACAGTTGTGAATGTGTTTTGGCTTTTTTGGACATATATATGGTATTCTTGAATATTTTATTGATAAATTATCAAACGAAAGTTGCTTGTCACATATTCTATTGTAGTCAGTGATATTTAGATATAGTAAATTAGTAATTGTAAATCCCCTAGACTAAATGAGTGTATGTATTGTAATAATGCACATGTTGTATGTTAGACTTTTTACTGCTGAAACCCGCCAAATAAACGTTGTAACGTGCTTCACCTCTCCTGTTCTTTTTAGATTCTACCAGGCCAGGGTAACAATTAGACCCTGGTCCTAAAACTTAATTCAGTAGGCCAATGCTGATGCCGACACTGATGGCCAGGGTAGAGCATAGGCTAATCTTGACTTTGTTGAGCTGAGCTTAATAATATTCTTTATATATGAGAGTGTGTCAAAACTTGGTAAGTCTTAAGGTATGTCACTCATGAAATTAACTATATCAAGTATCAAGGATTTTTAATATAAAGTATACCTTAGAAAAGAATTCATATAAAATAACTCAGAAATGCTTAGAAAATGGGGAAGGGGGGGGGGTGTCAGTGAGCATTTAAATTGCAACTTTTTAGTAAATCATCTTAATGTCCTAACTGTAGTTCTATGAGAAAATCAGGCGAGGGCCATACGTGAAGTACCACTCACTTTAATGAATTTTTCCCAAAAGACTCCAATAATATAGCATTAATAATCACAAAAAAAAAATTCTGGAAATTTTCATCATTGGGGCCCACCAAGGGGGTACCCCCACAAGGCACTA